GTTCAGGCAATTCTCCTGCCTCAGCCTCCTGAGTAGCTGGGATTACAGGCACGCACCACCATGCCCAGCTAATTTTTTGTAGTTTTAGTAGAGATGGGGTTTCACCATGTTGACAAGGACGGTCTCGATCTCTTGACCTCGTGATCCACCCGCCTCGGCCTCCCAAAGTGCTGGGATTACAGGCTTGAGCCACCGCGCCCGGCATCCTGCTTGGACTTCTAGCCACAGTCCAGCACCCTCCAGGCTCTGTCAGATCGTGTATCCATAGCACTATACAGGGGAATTATCCACATCCACTGACCCACTGTGACCCAGGCCCAATCACCGCTTCAGTGGCCACGGAAGACCCACAGAGGGAATCAGGATTTTCATCTCTCTACATTAGAGTGGCTGTGAGGCTGGCCAGCTCCTCTCATACTGTTGGCCTTAGACAGACAGGGTCATCCCACAGCGGAGGCTGAGGTTCCTGGCTGGGAGACAGGGAAGACCCTCAAGTAAGGTCTTCAGGGCACTAGCCCCTGCACTCCTCCATTGATCCTTCATCCATGCAGACATACAGACTACTGTGAACACACTTTGAGTTTATTCTGCCACGGCTACAGGGCCCACTGCCATTTACAGCCCACTGAGGTTGAGGATATGGCCAGGCTAGGATTGACGCAGGCCCATGATGAAAGTGACACCGACTGTGTTGGGGTGGGGGTGGCCGGCCTTGATCCTTGCCCCTGTGGGTTGGCCAGGTGGTCAGATCCTCCAGGTTCCCTCACACACAGCCTGGTACATTTCTGCCGTCAGGGGCCGGAAGGACTGGGCCCGGTTGTCCAGTATAAACAGAGGGTCAGTCACGACCCCTACGTTAAAGCCCTCACGCACCAATCGGGTCTTCACCAGTTTGAACGTGCTCGTGACCTCCACAGCGTCCTGCAGGGCAGTGATCATAGTCCCGTCACTGTGACACCCATCCCCCCGCTATGATCTTCCACCCACCTACCTTGCCACCCCGGGCTCACCTGGATGCGGATGAAATGGGGGGTAGCGTAGGCAGGGAGCCAAGCGCGAACGTGCTGGTACAACTTCTGCCCGTCGAAAGTATGGCCGGGGGCTAGCTGCACGGCAGCCATGCCCACCTTACCCTCACACCCTAGGAAGCAGTCTGGTCACTTTCGGCTAACCCATCTCGAGGGCCCATAGCTGACTCTCCAGCCCCGCCCAGCTCTGCTCACTGGTGGTGAGGTCCGGCACGTCGTACCTAGCACTTCCCTACCTGTAAAATCGGAATAAAGACCCTCCACCCACAAAGCTGTTTGAAGTTTAAAATGAGAACCCTCCGCACCTGGCACACACACGCCATACACGTTAACCTGTTGCAGGAAGTCCACCTGCGACAACACGCCCTCCACCTCGCGCGTGGACACGTTCTCGCCCTTCCATCTGCAGGGTTGGAGCCAGCGCTGTGACAACGCCCCCAGCAAGGAGAGGCCCCGCCCCGCCCCGCCCCGCCCCGCCCCGCCCCTACTGGGGATCTGGAGGCCCGGTCGGGCCCGCCCCCTCCAAAATCGAGAAGCCTCGCTTTCGCGTAGGAAGTCCTGACCCCAAGCTCCGCCCTCTTGCGATAGGAAAGTCCCGCCTCTTCAGCCTGGCTGCCTCTAGGATATAAAGCTTCCGTTGTCCCCCCCCCCAGCCCCGCCCCGAGAAACCCCGCTTCGGACCGGAAGGTGTCTCCGAGGCGGTCGCGGAAGTAGAGGAAGCCTTCGTGGTCCATGGCCAGCACGTCCCCGGTGTTGTAGTAAACGTCGCCCGACTGCCGCACGTTGCGCACCAGCTTCCGTTCCGACAGCTCTCGGGGGCCGCGGTAGCCCACGAAGGGATGGTGGCTTGCAACCTTGGTCAGCAGAAGCCCTGGCTCCCCTGGGGGTAGGAGCAGGAACCAGAACCCCTGGAGCCCACCAGCCAAGCCCCCTGCTGGAGGTTTTCAACAACGGTGGACTCGTCGTCACCCAGCACCCTGCCAGGGACGGATCCAAAGACAGGAATATCCAAAGATTAGAGAGACAGAGATTTCAGAGAGAGAGACTCAGAGAGATTCCGACGAGGAACACAGAAAAAGACGGAAGAGAAGGCGGTATCGGGGAGCCCATGAAAGCAGGAAAAGGGTAACAAGGGATGGAAGACGGCCAGAGACAAATGGCAGAAGAGATGAGACCGTACCTTGCACGGCCCTGGGAGAAGACACTAACAGAAGGTACAGGACAAGGGACCAATGCCTGGAAAGCTGTCTTCCACAGAAAGCTGAAGAGAACAAATCAGTTGGACACCCAGGACCCAGCAGATCAGAGCGAGAGATCAAGGCAGGGGAGCGGGGCAGAGCCAAGAAGCTGAGGCAGAGGCCCCAGGTGATGGTAAGACAGGCCACTGGCTGAGGGTCCAGATGAAGGCTGCATCTAGTGAGCACCAATGTCAAGGTTTTGGGCAGACTGTTCCAGCCAAGGAGAAGACTGAGGGTCGCCACCCCTGCCACCCAGGATGGGCTCCTCAAACCCCATACCTAGCCCTACAGGGATGCAGAAGCCATGACTGTCCCTCACAGGCTCCTCCGCCACCATGTCGAACTGCACCAGCTCAAAGGGGGACAGCATCTGCGGTGGAGGGCGGGGGTATCGATAGAGGTCCTGTGGGTTCAGCCTCAGTCAGGGCAACTTAACACCGGCCACCCGCACACTCACTCGAAGCAGACAGCTCATCTTGCCCAGGGCCCCGCAGCGCCCCACATAGTTGACTAAGCCCATGTTGCCTTCTGTGGAGCCGTAGGTTTCCCAGATCCGAATAGGACCAAAGCGCTGCTGGAACGTCTTCCACACATCAGCCCGGAGTCCATTGCCCATCGCCAGGCGGACTGTGTGTGTCCGGTCCTCTTGTCGCTACAGGAATGTCCCCAGAAAGGTGAGGAGGAGGTGCTCTTGGGGCATGCCTTGGGACCTTTACCTCGAGGCGGTGTTGTCCTGGGTCCTTACCTTGGGAGTTACCTGGAAGGTGATGGGGGACCTCTACCTAAGGGAACTACCTGGGTTTCTTACATGAAAGTAGTTACTGGAGTCTTTTAAATACAGGGTTACCTGCATGGGTGACCTGAGAGCTTTGCCTGGGGGAAGTTACCAGGGGTGACTGGAGGCCTCATCTGAGGTCTTACCTGGGAGTAGTTACCTACAACTTTAATTTAGTGGAAATTTAATTTTAATTAATTTATAATGGAAATTCTCATGATAGGGGTAGTGGCTTTTATTATGCCTGTTTTCCAAATGAGGACACTGAGGCTTAAGGTAGCACAGCTGACTGTCAAAGAAATCACTGTTGGAAACCTTGTGTGGAACTCATTATCTGGGGTTCTTGCCTGGGGTGTGTTATCTGAGGGACTTGCTTGAGTTCCGTGCCTAAATCTTTACCTGAGATATCATTTGGGATTTCATACTTGGGTGTTCATCAGGGAGCCCTAATCTTAGAGCCTCACCTGGGGAGTGTTACACAGATACCGCAGGAGCTCTCCCACATACTGGATCACAGTCACGCCATGCTGCCGACAATCATCCCAGAAGCAGGAAGCAGAGAACTTGGGGGCCAGAACACAGGTGGCTCCTGAGGGAGGAGAGGGGAGGGCGTTTCAGGTCATGCTTCTAAGTTGTTGTAAGAAGCTGCTTTTAGCACCTGGGTTCACCCACTCCCACACCCTGAAACACAGGACAATACTGAGTTCATGTCTGGGTCCTTGGCCCAGACAGGAATGCCCTCATTAATAGAGCATAGTCAGGCCTGGGTTCAAATCCTGTCTCCAGAATGCCTGGAAAGCCCCCTGCCTGGTATAAAATGAGCATTGTTAAATAAGGGCTATAAATACTAATTTTTTCATTTTTATTTATTTGTTTTTGAGACAGAGTTTCGCTCTTGCTGCCCAGGCTGGAGTGCAATGCTGTGATCTTGGCTCACCGCAACCTCACCTCCAGCGGTCAAGCGATTCTCCTACCTCACCCTCCCAAGTAGTTGGGATTACAGACATGCACCACCACGCCCAGCTAATTTTTTGTATCTTCAGTAGAGATGGGGTTTTTCCACATTGGTCAGTCTGTTCTTGAACTCCCAACTTCAGGTGATCCACCTGCCTCGTCCTCCCAAAGTGCTGGGATTACAGGCATAGGCCACCACGCCTGGCCTTTTATTTTTATTTTTTAGACAGAATCTCACTTTGTTGCCCAGGCTGGAGTGCAGTGGCGCAATCTCGACTCAATGCAACCTCCACCTCCCAGGTTCAAGAGATTCTTCTGCCTCAGCCTCCCCAGTGGCTGAGATTACAGGTGCCCGCCACCACGGCTGGCTAATTTTTGTATTTTTTTTAGTGGAGATGGGTGTTTAACCATGTTGGCCAGGCTGGTCTCAAAGTCCTCACATTTAAGGTGATTTCCCCTGCCTCAGCCTCCCAAAGTGCTGGGATTACAGGTGTGAGCCACCACCTCTGGCCACATTTTTTATTTTTATTTTTACTTGTCAGTGACTTGAAGCTCAAATCATTCTTGATTGTGATAAGTGAATGCCCAACTAAGCAGAAGGGTGGGCAGGTGGATGGATATGGTGGGTGGATGGAAAGATGATTGGGTGGACAGTTAGATTAGTGAATGAGTGGATGGATGGGTGGGTGGTGACATGCATAGACAGGTGGGTAGAAAGATGGGTATGTGTAAGGATGAATGGGTAAGGAAGTAGGTGAGTAGATGGATGGGTGGCTTGGTGGATGTATGTATGGGTGTATTGATATATGGACACGTGGATTAATAAGATTTAGGGGGCCGAGCGCGGTAGCTAACACCTGTAATCCCAGCAGTTTAGGAGGCCGAGGCAGGTGGATCACCTGAAAGGTCAGGAGTTTGAGACCTGCCTAGCCAACATGGTAAAACCCCATCTCTACCCAAAAATGCAAAAATTAGCTAGGAGTGGTGGCACACACCTGTAGTTTCAGCTTCTCAGGAGACTGAGGTGGGAGAATTGCTTGAACTCAGGAGGCGGAGCCTG